CTGGAAGATCACACCAACTGAGCGTACGAGTGAGAGAAAGACGCGACTATTGAAATGCAAGCTTAGAAAGGAACAGACGGGAATGTGAGAGGATGTAGCAGACAAGCAAGCCATCGATTCCTTCTGCACTTCAAACTCGGTAGGTAATAGAAAAGCCTGCCACAGTAATTTGCCTCGTCTGTACGCGCATGCAAGTTCGCCAAGCGTCCTCCCGAAGGGCAACAAACACAGTTGAAGAACACACACACACACACACACACACACACACACACACACTCGCACACGCGCACGCACATGCACATGCACACGCACACGCACAAGCGCAGATACACACACACGCACGCGCGCGCCCGCGCGCGGAAGGAGGAATGAAGGGAAGGAAGACGCACCAGATGCTGTCCACAGACTTGGAGGCGCTCTTTCTCATGACAACGCGGGCCTCGACATTGCCAACCTTCTCGCTCAGGGCGCTCTTCTCCTTGAGAGCGGTCTGGCCGGCGAACGTGCTCGGCGCCGAAACGGCGGCAACGGCAGCGGTGGCAGCCATGGCTACTACTGTTGGGAGAGAGAGAGAGAGAGAGAGAGAGAGAAATACAGCAATGCAACCTGTCGGCGAAGTGAAGGCTCTTCACTTGCCTGGCGATCCGATAAAGAAGGCTGATCACAAGGAGTCCTACGCTCTGTGCATATTTATGGGTCTCGTTGCCGCAATAACCAGAGGTTAATCGCCACCCTCGGACCCCCAGATTCTACCCCCTTCCCATTCTACCCCTACGTCAGCAGCCTTCCCCGCCGCCGCGCACAACCCCAACCTCTCTCCTCTTTTTAGGAAGTAAAGTCTATCTTCTGTTATCTCTTTCCATCGATCTGTCACTCCCTCTATCTCGCTCTCTGACGCGGGTTGGCCCGCGGTATACTCTCCGGCCTTCCAACGCCATCCTCTTCCAGAGGCATCGAGCCGGAAAATAACGACATACCACATTTGTTTACATTTCGAATCGAAATATTACTCCTTTTCGCTTTTTTTGGGGGGGTCCATCTTATCGCAGCGCGAACTTGGGATTCGAGCTTGCACACATATTTCAACGGTTGAGGGGTGTACCAACTGCGCTACGCTCCTACCGGTCTAAGAGCTTTTCCTTCTTTTTGCCGGGGCCGTGACCCACTACCGGTAGCGGGGTTTAGTTTATCTTTCCTGTATTTTCCAGCCTGGTCCTACTTCCTGTGGGCCGTGAGATTTCAAGATCCGATGGCAGGGGGCCATGTACACTCGAAACCAGAACAAAACCTTGAGAAGTGGGACATGGCCCCCGGGTAATTCAGGAGTTTCGTTCATCTGCTTACATCTGGATTCGATCACAGGGTTGCGTGTCAATAATTTATGGGCGGGCATACCAACCGAGCTAACCCGGGGCCAAGTCCCACTTACCCAAAAGTCCCACTTACCCAAATTCTCAACTTGTGACCGTAGATTACGATGATCAGCGGCCAGAAATGAAGACTCAGGGTAAGTGGGACTTGGCCCCCGTTGGTAGTTTCACTTTTCCGAGCTTTCTTGCCTTGATTGTTTTTGTGTCGACATTCTTTGGCGATTCGAACTCATGAACTGTTCACTGGCAGTCTTAAGTGGTCACTTCAAAGATTCTGCTTAACTCAACAGGATCAATTAAACTCCAATCAGACCCAATCATTCAAATATTCTCAATCTTTTCCCAGTAAATGAAGATTGCCTTGCCTTCTCCGCTCCACCAATCCTGAGAGCATCAAGCAGCAACTATCGCACCCCACAACCGCCCGTACTTCCGAGCCTCTTTTACCCGAAGTGGAATTCCACGAGCACCAAATCTTGCCGAGCCTGAAAGAGACCAGTACAGGGGGAAATGATAGTGGTGCCTTTTTTTTCTGGATAAGAGCTCTCCTTAGGTCCTATTTGGGAGAGGGGGAAATGATGGTGCCCCCTGGTACCGGCATCTTTCGGGATTAGGGTGCTTGTGATACGCAACCTCACGCCCCCTCGCAGCTTCCCGTACGGGGTCGCCGATCAGAGTTCTAGGAGGGGCGTGGCCGAGGATTTTTGGCCGTAAGGGTTGAGTCTCCTGGGCGGAACGGGAGGCTCTCGTTTCTTGGCCGAGGTTTTTCTTGGAGTCGAACTGTCGTCACGAAGTCCCGCGGGGGTCGGATTACTCCGAAACGATAAAATCAGAAGGTTTTCTGTGAAAATGAATTGCCGTCGTGCATCGGGACGGGAAAAGGCATCAAGGGGAGGAGGCCATGGCGGCAGACGGCAAAAACTCCGGCCGTCATGGGTTCCGGGGATAGGTGAAGGGTTCGAGGCCTTCAAGCCTCGGCGTTGGACTCATAGAGCCCGCGGGAAAGTTTCCGGGAGGGTAAAGCAGCGGGAGGACTCGCCGGCATCTGAATTCGAAATTGCGCGGGCAGCGCCCCCGCACTACGGGAAATCTCGGGGAAACGTGTCGCTCCCTCGTAACCCAGGACCAGCCGTCGCCACGAACACGAGTCCCCCTGGCGACACCAGCGACAATTAAACTGCGGTCGCCACGCGGCGTGAGCGGCCGACCAGGGCAACACCGTTAAACCCGTATAAGGCAATATTAGAGTCGGGGAATCAAAGTGATCAATCAACAAGCCCGAGGCGGGTCTTGCCAACACACTTGCTCCGTCCGTCTCAGCGCGCGCCGTACGTCCGCATCGCAGTAGACGCTGTCGTCATCTGTGATGGGGAAGGTTGGTAGCGAAATGAGACGATCGGAGGTACGTGATGAACACGGGCAAGATCCCGCTTTTCCAGTCATCCGAACCAACATCGAATCCATACAATCAATCGTCGCAACTCTTTTCTCTCAAAAGTGGGTGCGTAGGGAGAGGATGGCGAAATCTAAGCGTTCTCCCCTTGCCGGGGGCGTCGACCGTCCGTGCGGACGCAGGCCGTTGACGCCACCGGTACGAGGACGAGAAACTCTAAAAGGCGATGACTGTTAGTTCAAAAGGAAGGCGATCGAAAAGGGGGAGAGAGAGAGAGAGAGAGAGAGAGAGAGAGAGAGAGAGAGAGAGAGAGAGAGAGAGAGAGAGAGAGAGAGAGAGAGAG